CATAAAAGCACCTTTTTCAGAGATATTTAGGAAGTGAAACAAATGACCCCATCCTTGTTTGCTGTTAGTGTTAAGAATATGAACATATAAAGGTCTACTCACATGGTGCAATCCCGTCCTCATCATGTGGAACTGATCTACAAGCTTTTTGTGCAGAGGACGCATTTCTGGGTGCACCAACTTCTCGTGAACAGCCAGCCCCACTCCGAGAATGTGCACCTGTTAATGAAGGAGRGGGGACCGGAAAAATGTGTATTTATTTATCACGCTGTGTTCTCCAAGATGTTCCATATCAGCTGAGAGATCAAAAGCAGGTCTGACCTGCTCCTGCATGAGGTCCTTCAGATGTGTGATCCTCTCCGTGTCCTCCGGGTGACTGCTGATGTAGTCCTTATCGAAAAAGGCCTGTGGGCAGAGGATGAAACAAACAAACAAACAAAAAAGATAAAGGTTTCTCTCTGCACCAGTCTGACAGCCATTGCTGTTGTAGCCCTCGCTGTGGCCCTCAGCTGTACCTCCTGATATCTGGCAATGCCTCCATTCACGGCGGCATCAATGACGCCGTTGAGGCACATGCTGAGCGGGTTGATGTTGCCATGGTGCTGTCTGTGCTGGTATTGGCTGATCAAAGTCCGCAGCTCCTGGGTTTTATTCTCCACCACATAGATGGCGTTCTCCAGAGGGCTCACCTCCACCTGATAATAAAGACACAACAGGTGATTACAAAAACTGTAACAGAGGTGCAACTGTCAGCTAACCTACATGTCAAACTCAAGGCCCAAGGGCCAAATGTAGTGCGTGGGTGACTCCCATCCGGCCCGCCAAGAGGGCAGGGCACTCAAGATGACAGCTACTCACCACAACCTAACAGTGAGTACAACTCTCTTACTTTTAATAGTATTTCTGTATTTTTTTTTTCACATTTAGTCAGTTGTACACGTCATACTTTGCTGTGTTAAAACACTATTTCTATGCGGGAAAAACCATGTAGAGTTCAGTTAGTGTTTGTAAGCAGTGCTCAGCCATAGAAATGAGACAAGGAACATTGTGTTTCATGTTTAGTAAAAGTTAAAGACAAAACGTCAAAGTTATTATTTTTATTATTATTGTATTATTATTATTATTATAATTATTTACCGTTATTTTACCAGGCAAGTCCCATTGAGATCTCAGATCTCTTTTTCAAGGGCGGCCTGGGCCTGAAGGCAACCTATTGTACATGTGTGTTTTTTGTGGGGGAAACTGGAGAAAACCCACGCAAGCACGAGGAGARCATGCAAACTCCACACAGAAAGACCCCAGGTCTGAACCAGGGATCGAACCCAGGACCTTCTTGCTGTGGGGCGTCAGTGCTAAACACTGAGCCGCCGCGCCGCCAATTACAACTGGCCCTTTGAGGTCCACCATAACACTCATGTGGCCCTCAGGAAAAAGAGTTTGACACCCCTGAGCTAACTAGTTTTAGCAAACATTCCTTGCTGTGCATTATGAATGTATAGAAGATGAAAGTTTGAGCTCCTCACCACYTCTCTTCTTTCCACCTCAGCCCAGCGGGCGATCCCGGGCAGAGGACGAGACAGGATCAGGGTTGTTCTCTCGATCCACAGGCTCTGTTAGACATTCAGATAGAAATCTGAGATTATCTTTTCAGTCTGATCTGATAGAAAACAAACCCCAGCAGGCAGCTGACTGTGCTTGAGACAAATAAACTGAGCAGGCACCAGTGATTCCTAAAAACCCTGCTGTAAACTGTTGACCTACATGTTACTCCAAAGTACATCATTGTGTGATTCTAAATGTGGGTCACTGTGTCAAAGAAAATTACTTTATTGCKTATGTTAGGATGTTATGGTCCCTGATGTCAGAGCTGTTTTTTCACACTAAAAACCAAAGCAGAGTTGAAAATAAACATCAGGATAAACGATCTACTGATAAAATATTTACAATCGCAGCTACAACTTGCTGCTTTCTTACTGTGAGTGTTTTACAAGCTTCAGATTTGATTACAGTCAGACAAGTCATGTAATAACACTGGATATTTTGTCACAATATGCATCTGTCTCTTTTCTACCTGGAGGGTTGACTTTGAAACAGGGGGTATTTCAAACTAAAGTTTAGTTTTTAATAGATCTGATACATTTTGAATAAAACGCAAATTTTGACATGCAGAATGAAACTGGTGTTTATGTTTATTTGTGATGATTTTTGTAACAATTATCCTTAAAGGACCTGTCACACTAGAGCAGTTTAGCTATAACTTATGCCTACTTATGTTTATTTTGTTATAAATAAATTACTCATACATGGTACATATTTGTTCAACTTATTAGCTTCACACATGTATAAGACAAAAAGAGACTTCCAGTAGATTTTTTTTTTTATTCCGTCATCTGCGAAGATATCTTCATTGTTGGACAAAACTTTCATAAGTGGACATAAAGTGTGTAAAAAAGTGTGACAAGACCTATAGCAACATTGACTGAAAAATATATTGCATCATATAATCRGAAATAATAAGTAATGTAACAGCTGTGATGATCCTGTCATAAATCCTTAGAAAAAAACAGATTTCTCATGATCTATATAAGATTTTTTTTATTGCCCGCTACATTAAAATAATGTCCATCAGACTGTTTATTAGAAAAGCTTGTCATGAACCAGTAGATGGATTTAAATAAAATGTTCAGAAAGTAATCACATGTAGATCTACAGCTGATTAAGTTTTGGYATCAACCAGACTTAAGATAGCTRGTCAGCCATGGCTAACAGTGACACAAACATAATTATGTCAGTTTTACAGATACTGAGCTAAAACTTGAATTGGTAGTAGCCGTTGGTCATTCTCACAACATACCCCTAACCAGTGGTGGGCACAGTTCCCCTAAAGCACTAATAGGGGAACTAATTTCCTGATTAGTGCTTTAGGGCTTTTGCTAATTTTAAAATTCATTAGTGGACTAGCACTTACTAAATTTAGAAGCACTAACCGAGGTCTTTAAATGTTATTGATCAACTTTAATGTTAACAGCTGAGGGTGAAAGCTGTCACACATGTTGTATGTGTGTCACTTATCCACTAGTTGGCAATATACTGACAATATAGGAACCCAAATACAGCTGTGGAATGTCAATGATAAGTMTTAAGAGAGCAACATGACAATACAGTATGTGACTCGTGTTGTCTGTTGAAGAATGCTCATGGGTTGACTGGGTTATTTTTGTGCTTTACAATTAGCTTTTTCTAAAATTTTCAGTGCATTAGTGCTTTAGAATTAGGGGACCTAAATATTTGAGTTAGTGCTTTAGAATTAGGGGACCTAAATTTTTGAGTTAGTGCTTTAGAATTAGGGGACCTAAATATTTGAGTTAGTGTTTTAGGGCTAGTGGAACAAATTTTTAGATTAGTGCTGCCCACCACTGCCTAACGCTAACAAACTACCAGTATGTGATGGCAGCTTTGAAGTCTGCAAGAAATATGCATTCCTTCGAAGAACGTCACTTTCATTATTTACAAGATTAATGGGTGTTTTATTTATGCACATTCTTCACCATTTCATGTGAAAATATTTTTATTCACTTCTACTCGTTCAYGTTTACAACTCTAGATGATGTGACTGCAATACCTTAAACTTTTCTTCTTGACAGCTTTATWGGTAAAAGCGTTGAAAGCTGTTTGATGAGCAGATCATGATCAAATTTAAACCTGATTAMAATCCAATACGAACAACTGCAGATAATTAAATGAAACCAACATGTCTGATTCAATGTAAAACTGAGAAAACKAAACAGCTAATCAAAATATGTCCCATTTTATTTTTAATATTTTAATATTAATATTCTGTTAAAATCTTAACAAATAAATCCAATATTGTTTACCTTTGCCTATCAAATGTGTGGTCAATGTAGCAGAGAAATGTTAAAGAGCGCTTTAAAGTCCATCATTGAGGCCACCAGGGGGAGTTAYACTAACTTGCATCACCTGGGATGTCTGTTAATGCTGCTGTATGTCTATCTTTCCTGCACTATCCTGCAGTTTTAACAATCAGATATTTCTCTGCCGTCTCATCATACCCTGAACTCGTTCTCGCGGTCCTTGGGCCCCTTGTGAAAGGGCCTGTCGTAGTGGAAGCGACTGACGTTGTTGATGCGGTAGAAACTCTTGATCCTCTCGGGCACGCGCTCCAGCTGAGGCACATCTGAGATGTCCGACACTGGAGTCACAGCATAGATCTGCAGGTCTGAAGGCCAAGAGTTAAGAAAAAAGACTAAAACGTACACTCAGGGGAAGAAGAGCAGGAGAGATCCTCAACATTMGTCCAGAAAACATTTAACTGAAATCTGTTCGGATTCAGCATGAAATCAAACCACATCAACAACTTCAATTTGATAAAAATGCTTTTTCTTTCCCTTGTGTGTGAATGTGTGGATACACTGCGCATCACTCTGCAGGATGGTGTCGTCCGGTAGGTTAGTGTGCTGCATGGCAATGGCTTGTGGAAATTCCCCCAGCATCCTTTGCTGGAAGTCCTCGAGCCGCTCGTAGTCGTAACCGCGACAGACAAACTCCTTGTTCTGCAGAGAGAGAAAAAGCAGCTGTTAAGACCTGACAGAGTTGTGTAATTTAGAAGAAAACATTATTTCCTTATACCCCTGAAAAACAAAGAGAAAAACAACACTACTCTGTGATGTAATATTCAGCATTACATATGATTATATCAGTGTAAGGACAGAGAAGATGAGACAAGATGTAAAAATCAAATGTCTTACTCTGAGAAAAAAAGGAAACTTCCTGCCATAGAAGCCCATTCTGAAGAACTCCGGTTCAATCCTCTGCTGTTCGATGATGTTGTCATAATAAGCTGCCTCCATTTTCTGCGGTGCCAAGAGAAAAACACGCTAAAGAGTCATGATGAATAAYAATTTAATCACACACATCCCTGAAGCCCCTGCATGTCCTGATGAGTGTGGGCGTGCTCAGGTAATCATTGCGTTTGACGCCGGGCACACTTCACACCGCACCGAAGCAGCGGCAGCAGTGGAGGAAGCTGAAAGTCTCACCTCCCTGCATCACAGAGGAGGCTTGTTTGATAAGAACAGCAGAAACTGGGAGCCTGCAACCCTCCACTCACCCGTATCCAGCTGAGGCTCTGATAATCATATAAAGTCTCATATTGGAACGCCAGCTCCCGGCAGAGAGAGATCCCATATTCCCAGCACTGCAGAGGCACAGAGAAAGAGAAGGACTGAGACACGCATAGGGAAMCTAATATAACTCTTATAAAGGAAATAGATCATCATAAAAAATGTTAAACATCCCATAGCTTGARTGTTGTTTGTTCTGCGTACAGTTGTGGTCAGAAGCTTACGTACTCTCCTGGTTGGCATGAACGAGTGATTTGAACGGTTATTTTTCCAGTGATGAATTATTATACAACATATAACTTTGGAAAACTAGAATTGAGTGTGCAAATTTGAATGTATTGTAGATTTTATCCAATTCACACAGGCTCAGAATCATAAATATAGCMCAAGGGAATTAGTTTTTGGTAGATAATATYTTTGTTGTAACAATGCTTCTTGGCAATAAATCTTATACCGTTGGAAAGCCTGTTAGTTTACCTTTTAAATGGGGCCACATTTGTRAGGAACATGTATTTGTGGGATGAGAAGTAGAGCTGAGTGTGGGTTGTTAACGTGAAAAATTTGCCAAATCTCTTCCAAACAGTTTATTTTACTGCTGCTATTGACACTTGTTTTGAGCTTCTGGAACCCYCAGGCACTGCCAATCAGGTGCCTGATGTGTGATTTATTGCTAAGAAGCATTGTTACAACAAAGAAATAATCTACCAAACACAGATTTCCGTACTTTTTGTACTAAATGTTGGTGTCACAAAACCATTTTTTCACATACCGAGTATGAGTACTTCAGTTTGGGAATTTACTGATACTGAGCATTTACTGAGTTAGAACCTAAAGATTACATAAYGACTTTAAAATGCATTTATTTTATTTAAAACAAGGTGTCTCTGCTTATAGAAATGAATTATACAGCTCATTATATTCCTGATGAAACATTTCAAAATAAATTAAAACAACAAGTAATAAACATGGAAATGACAAACGTTTCACTTGAAATGTAAACTGTAACACAATCAACTGATTATTGAATCCGGTATTGATGCCTGTATCGGTATCGGGGCACTTTGGACGATTATGAGTATTTGTAAAAATGTTGGTATTGGGCCACTACTAATTATAAAATACAGGTTAAATCCAGGGGTGTCAAAWCCTGGAGGTCCACTGTTCTGCATGTTGGAGAGGTTCCTCTGCTCCAACACACCTGATTTGCATGAATGGGTCATTAACAGGAGGAATATGAAGAGGTAATTCGGTCACTGAATCAGGTGTACTGGAGCATGGAAACAAGTACAACATGCAGGATACATGAGGCCCAGACTTTAACGTCTGTGCTGTATAAACAGACCAACCTGGTTTCTGATTGGATAAATCAAACTAATGTTAAGCTTCTGGAACTGTATTCCCAAAGCACTGACATCAACTCTATTGAAAAATTGCGGATTAAATTTAAAAGTTGCCCAAATGCAATCTATGTGCAGGATGTGTAGCTTAAACGGTTGGGTTGTTCTGATTCTGTGTGTATCAGAGCAAATTCACAGTAAATTCAAACTTGTGCACCCAGTTTTAGCTTTTAGAAATCAGTGAAAACTGTGAAATCCTTTGCCCTAGAAGCTCTGTCACATAGAAACCTGGCAGAAATAACGGGAGAGGAAAACAAGTTAACGAAAGACGACACTTTCCCTTTTTTTCCGGCTGCTACCAGGGTCCAGTGGGCATTCTCCTCTCCAAAGCACACAGAGCAGTCAACTAATTTAATTTTGACAATGAATACCAGCTAGGGAGGAGTAATTTTGGAAGGAAAATTATATTTGAACTGAAAGCTGATCCTCAAGGTGAAGCATTGCACAGACTGTGCAAAGGCTAAGCTTTTACATTTACTTTGTGATGCTCAGTTTCCTTTGTTTTAGCACAGAAACAGGTTATTATCAGTGTGGTGTTGAGTTCTTGTTTTGGTTTTTATATTCTGTGTTCTAAATGTTTAAAGTTTAACCTGCTTTGGTGCTAATTTTGTCTCCGTGTTCTGAAATTCACTTAACCTGACTTCTTAGATAATTTGGTAGATTTTTAGCTTCTGCCATTAAGGGCAGGAGACAGGTTTAATTAAAATCTTGGAAAGTAATTCTTCGATGCTAATCTACAACTGATTAACTTYTGAGAATCCTCCCAATTTCAGATGGCTGCCACAGCTAATTAAACGTAGCACAAAACAGTTATAACACAGTTGTGGAAATGTGACGTGAAACAAAGATTCATAACAGACTGGGGGAGATTTGTTAGATGAATTCCTTTAGGAATGCTCATTTTATTTAAACATACACATTAGTAAATTGGCTTTTTGCCGCTCCTCTGTTTGTCATTTATTCTCACCTGAGTTGAATTCTGTTGATTATCCATGTTGGTATTTAAACCTATTACTTTCCTCTGATACCTGATGGATCATGTTTTACATGTTATTTTCTTCATYGTTTACAATTTGATGCTTTTTGTTTTTGTTGATTTACCACCTCTGCAGTGATTTCTATACATATACATAATTTTGCCATTTATAATTTATTTTCATATTAAATAAAAATCTGAGTTTCCACTGAGTTAGAGGTTTTTTTTTACTTTGTTGTATGAGGACATGAGATGACGTGTATTAAATGTACACTTATCTTCRGATTTCAAAACAACATTAAAGTGCCTGTGATGTCAAGTTTTTGTAATACATATGAATGCATTTTTAGAAAGAGGACATTGATAAAATACTGCAAAAGAAATTTCATGTCACTGAGATGAGCAGTTGTTAAGATATTTGCCTGTGAAGAAACAGGAAGTGATGTCAAAGGGGAATGTCTGCATGTAAACAGAGCATTGCTACAGCAGCTAATAACAGACTGCAGAGA